ACCATTTAACTGATGTCTACACAGCACCTCCAGCAGCGACATGGGTGAGCCAGTCCGGGCCCGCGAAGCTGACTTTATCTGGGCACTTGGTGGTCTGCAAGGGAAACACGGACAGGTCACGGCATGCAGCTGGCTGGTATGACAACCGTAAGGTGGTGCCCTGAGAACAAAGTGCACCGCGGTCAGGCAGGGTTCAGGGACAGGGGTGATCCACAGGCGTCTCCGCAAAACACCTGGCTTTATGGGGAACTTGTCCAAGAGGCTTGGGGAGGGACCCCCATTTCCATACCCTGACCCCAGAGTTACTTACCATTCTCACCTCCGAGGGGGTGGGTACAGTGAGGGTGCTGAGCCCTGCTGGCTGGCGACAATAGCCGTGGAGGAAAGCCCTGAGGAGGAGAACAGGCAACTCTCCTGTCAAGTGCTTTCCTGTACGAGGGGCGGGGTTGGGCACGGGGAAGAACGAGTGCGGACATTTTCGGGTGTGAGAGGAAAAGTCTTCTACTTAGTCAAAGAGCCAAGCAGCTGGCGCAGGCAATAAGGCTGTGCTTCTCAGGGCTTGTTGCTCTTTGCGGGAGGGAACGCCTGTTCCTTATTCTCCAGACGATCAAAGCCAATATTCTGGAGGAGTCTCGGGAGTCTCCAAGCTCCAAAGGTGGAAATCAGTGCCTTATGTTTTATGGTGACCTGCAAGGGGGCCAGGGCTCTGGACAGACTGTGTTCTGTTACCCTGAGCCTATCCCACTGCCTGGAGGCCACCTGGTGACAGAGTAGAACTGCTCCACAGGGTCTTCTCCGCTGTGACCCTCACAGCAGCAGGCTGCCAGGTCTTCTCTTTCACAGTGCTGTTGGGGTGTGGGTTTTGCACCACCAACTTCTAATCATTTGTACCACCTTGGGGGCTAAATACTCAAGTTTGGGGCTTCTTACCTGGGCCCCTTTGCTCCTGGAATAGACAAAGGGGGCTTACCTGCCCCGTAGGGTAAGTTGTACTGTGCGGGGAGCAATGAGTAGCCCAGATGGTGGTGGTGGTGGTGAGTGGACATCAGGCGCTGCGAAGGGGAGGTGCGGGGCCGGTCGACACTCCTCTCAGACCCGCCTGCTCCCCCATACTGCTACAGCTGCCACCACCCCCAACCACCCCACAGCTGCCCCGGTCTCTCTCCTGAGCAGTTTTGTCACTGATCTAGAAAGCAAAGCAGACACAAGGCACTGCCTTGAGGCATACCACCCTTGAAGAGAGCAAGGTGCACAGAGCCCATGCCAAAACTCCCCCAAACGGCATGTCGCCCAGAACCCAGGGGGCACCCCACCAAGGTGCCCTGCATTGCTCCCAGAGTGCCTTTACCGTGGGGGACTTGCTCTTGTAGTGACTGGCATGCTGCTGCAGGATGTCCAGGGCTTTGGACTCTGAGCTGGACTTACAGCTGACACTGGGGCTGGCCCGGGCCTTGTCAGCGTCCTCAGCCCCGGAGACCTTGCTGCCATAGGGGGAAAAGGAGTAGCTGGAAGGCAGATAGGAACCTGTGAATGAGAAACGAAGCAGGAGGGGTCAGTGAGCCTCCCAGGCATGGGGTGAGGTCCTTCTGGCCTCGAGGCCTTGGACTGGGACCATTGCTGTCCTCTTTCCCCTGGTCAGAACCCGAGCTCTACAATAAAACCTTCTTCTCAGCCAACTTCCCCACCCGCTGCAGGTCTCCAAACCACACTCACTTTGGAGCAGGGTCTGGCCAAGTGCAAAGATCATAGTATTTGGAGTCTGGTGGCCATGGGTTCAAATCCCTTGAGACTTATTAGCTGGGTAACCTGGAGCAAATTAACTCCCTTTCTGAGCTTCATTTTCTGTAGCTGCCAACAAAGACACCAAATCCCTCACCGTACTGCTCAAAACACACAAAGTATTAATTTTATACAAATGGGTGAACGTGACAGGGCGAAAGCAATACCACAGGGAGTCAACTGGGCATCCCTCTTTCTAACATTCACTTGTGACACCAGCACATAAAGGCTCGTAGGCTGCCCTCAAACAGGAGCTGGGAGCTCTGTGTTACAGAGCAGCCCTCAGTGACTACAACTGGTTAAGAGCATCTCCTTCTCACACGTTTAACATTGAACCCCCTACATCATAGGGCACCGTCAGCGCTGACAGGTGTGACATTTCTGCTTCCTTGGTGGGACCCTTCTCATTGCATCTCCCCCCAACCTGACATCCCCCTGCTCCTCCCACTGCTGAACAGGAGTTGAAAGTTGCATGCATACACTTGCCCTGTGTTGACTTTCAATTGCTGCATGTGTCTCCCTTGCTACAATTATTTTGTGAGCTCTTCAAGGGGAGGAACCTAGTCGTTTTCACTTCTTTTCTACTCAGTGTCTAGAACATTGAAGAATGTAGATTACATGCTTGAAAATGCCAACTGAGGGAAGACAGCAGCGGGAGACAAGAGTTGGAGTGAGGGAGAATGTTGTTCCCACAGCCGGCCACTGGGGGTCACTCAAGGAGTGCGTTTACTGCGGCTCGACGCCTCAGGAAAACACACTATCAAAGGAGGACTGCCATCTAACTGAACTTCAATAATAAACCTGAGGGCTGAGCATGCTAGCAATTCTGGCTTTGCCAACTGTGCCCACCTCCCCGCCAGGTCTGTGGTGCTGTACCTGGGTAATTCTGCATCATCACAGCAGGCATGCCCCGGTAGCTGGGGTGGTTGGGGTCATAAGACTGGCTATAAGAGTAGCCGTGCATGTAGGGGATGTAGGACTGGTGCTGGGTGAGGGGCGAGGACACAGGCACATGGACACTTGGTCTGGGCTCCTTGCCCCGGGCTTCTTCCGACGACGGGGGCAGCTTGCAGTCACTACTTGTGCTTTCCTTCCCATCCTCCTTGGGCACGGAGTCCTTACTCCGACTCCTCTCCTCCTTCAGCTTGCGATCCCGCTCCTCTCTCCATCGCTCATCCTCTGACTTGATGTCCGAGTACTTGGCAGGATACACGTAAGTCCACATCCGGGGCTCTGCCTCCTATAACGATCGCAGAACCACGGTTGAGTGTTGCACAGACAAAAGACTGCAAAAACCCAAGGTCCTGGTAGGAATACCGGATGATTACCAGACACCCAGGGCAGAGCCCAATCTCGACCTCTGTCAGATGAGTTCCCCTTACGATCCAACCCCACTCTCTCGCACTTAAAAAGTCCCCTTCCAGGATGGACTTTGGGCCTCTGCACGTACCCTCCCTCAATACAAGAACACTTTGTCCTAACCAATCGACAGTGTGATATGTTCACCCTCCAAACACAATCACTGAAGACAAAGCAAATGTGGTGAACAAGATGATGGTGGCCGGCTATTAAAAGATACGGTGTCTGGGGTCTTAAAGGCTTGAAGTTACACTTCCATTCAGCAGTGAAGCAACAAGTCCACCTGGAAGAAGCACACTACTGGTGCGATCATGAGGAGTCATAGGGACCGGGTAATAGGAGACACATAACGAACAGAAACATATTGTTGAGAATGAAGGGGGCTGGAGCAGAGATCCAAAGCCCATCTGTAGAAAGTGGAACAATCTCCCCACAGAGGGGCCACAGGGAAGGGATGAGTCACTAGGGTGCAGTAAAGCATCAATGAGACACACTATATTCCTCTGGTTCCTTGAGGCTTCCTCTCCCCCCACTACCATGACCCCAGTGATGCTTCTCAATTAAGACTAGACTGGAACATGTACACAGGTATAGAAAGGGATGGGAGCTCATGACACCCAGAATCCAGGAGCAGGAGTGGGAATAGTGATGTCAGATGGGTAGGGGGAAGAGGGGGAACCGATCACAATGATCGACACATAACCATACACCCCTCTACAGGGGGAAGAACAGAAACATGGGGGAAGAGAGACAGCAGTCAGTGTGAGAGATGAAGAAAATAACAATGTACAATCTATCAGGAGGTTATGAGGGGGGTGGGTTGAGGAAGAGCTGATACCAAGGACTCAATAGAAAGTAAATGTGCAGAAAAGAATGAGGGCAACATATGTACAAACATGCCTGATTCAATTGATGTATGGATTGTGATGAGTTGTACGAGCCCCCAATAAAATGATTTATTAAAAAAAAAAAATCCCCTTCCCCTCCCGGCCCAAAAGGAGGCAGTGGGGCAAGAAAGGGCAGAGCCATCAGTGAGTTTTCTGGGAGACAAGCAAGCTGCAGAAACAGCTCTCTAAGCTGAAAAGATATTCCCTTCCCATGGATGTCCAGGCTCCTCAGAGCAAACTCGTGGGTGGAAAGTGGCCAATATAGCCCAAGGCAGGAGGGAGGGTGGGGGTGAAGGAATCCTGGAACCACTAGGGAAAAGAAGGGTCTCTAAATCTCCTACCCCCAGTGCTTCGTCTTGACTCAACCTCCTAAAGCTGTTTACAGTCTCTCAATATGAAGAGCACCCCACTTTTGGCCTATCCTACAACAGGGAGACCATCATGAACTCATTCCTTAGGAGCCAAGCAGTGGGAGACAGCCCAAACTCTGGGGATGGAGCTCTTCTAGTGGAAGTCCCGCATGACCCTAACAACAGCTAACTTATCCAAGACCTTTTTGTCAAATGGTTAAAACACTGAAGTACAAAGGCTTTTTAACAAAACATGGAAATGACCTAGCAAGGTAAAGGACCCTGCTCATCTCAATTTAGTTGGGGCCCTATGTAAACAGCTCTAACATGTGAGCTACAGCACAGAGACTCAAATGGTATTCCACTTCCTACGAGGACAACAGTTACCTGTCGGTACCAGAGTATCGGATCCACTTCGGCCTGCCGGCCACACTCAGCACCTGCCTTGGCCTCAGAGCCCTCCTTGCCTTGGTGGCTGGTTTCACTCAGTTTTGCTTTAAGTCCCTCTGGGGCCTGGCTGGGGAATTTTGAGGAGTCGTCTAACTTGGGGATGATCACCGATTTAGCAGGGTCAGCCCCTGGCTCCCTGGCCTTGCTGGGTCCCGACTTGACCAGGTCCGTCAGGCTGGGGGCCTTGGTGAGAGTTGGTGGGACTGGTGGCTTTTGCTTCCACTCTTCCTTGAGTGCTGCCTCCCGCTCCTTCAGATTCATCTCTGCCTTCTTGTCCAGGCCCCGCTGCTGCTCCAAGCTCTGCCGTTTCTGCTGCTCCTCATACTGCTGCCGGTACGCCGTGTTTGTGCTCAGGAGGTGAGTGTGGTAACTCTGGTCGCTGTAGCCATAGGGGGGCACATAGGCATACTGGTTGTAATAGAGAGACTGCATGTACATGTTGGGGCGCTGCTGGATGACGGAGGGCTGCTGACTGGGCGTGCTCAGCTCTGCTCGCTTCTCCTCGCAGACGTCGTTCTTCCCTTTCCCCTCTGCGCTCTCGGGTTCCTCCTCCTTCTTAGTCTTTAGGGCCGGGCTCTCCACTCCTGCTTGGCTGCCGGGGTTCAGAGCTCCTGGGCTGGACTGGGCATAGCTCGGCGAGTAGTAACTCTCAAGGCCTTGGTAATACGGTGAGTCTTTGTTCTGAGGCTGAGGGGGGAAAAGACTTTTCTTCGCCCCTTCCTTCACCAACTGTTCAGGGTCCTTCGACTTGACACTGTCCACCTTACCCTCCCCATCCTCCCCAGCATCAGAGATGTCGGAGTATGCAGGGCTGTTGGTTTTGACTGAGCTGGCTTCAGCTCCATTCTGGGTTACTACATGTAAGGGGGTCATGGGCTGGGTAGGGGGGGGTGCTATCAAGGCGGCTACCGCCTCCAATGGAAGGGCTGGGAGCATTATCTGTGAAGCTGTAGATCTTGTCCGCTTCAGCCTTGATACTGGCCAATCGGCTCTGGTGGGGGTCTGAGGAGCCATTTAGCAGCCCCTCCATTTTCAGCCCATCTCCTGATGATTCTCTGAAGGGGCTCTTGCCTTCTTCTGATCGACAAACCTTCCCAGGGGTCAGAGGACTTTCAAGTTCCTTTGAAGATTCCTTCTTTTTTTTGTCTTTCTTTTTCTTATCCTTGGTTGGCGTCAAGGCAGGGTTGACTGTAAAGGGCTCTCCCATCACGGTGGGCTTGGGCTGAATAGGTTTGAGTTGGGGGCTGTTGGGCATGGCTTGGACCACCGTGGTGGTCAGGCCTGAGGAGGAGCTTGGGCTTGCTGCTGTGAAGGTGGCTGTCTGGAAAGTATAGATTTGCTGTGGGGGGATGGCAGGGGCAATGGGCCGGGCTGACTTTAAGCTCTTGGAAGGAATCTTTTCAGCTTTCAAATTAGAGGTATTTTTACATTTTTCTTTTTCCATACACTTCCTTTCCAAAGAGTCAAAGGCGTCACTGCTTGTTTCATCCACTGCTGAGCGTCCATCATCGGAGCCATCATTGGACAGAGCCCCGAGGTCTGGGTCCCCTTCCCCACTCAACTTTTTCTTACAGAGACCTTTTGTGCTGAATTTGCTTGAAGGAGAAGGGCTATGGGGCTCTATGAGCCTGACTTTGGGAGTAGCTGAGCGGGCAGGGGACAAGGAACCTTTTTGTGAAACAGATACACCATTGCAACTCCCAAGTTCAGTATGGAGGGAGGGCTCCTCTCCATACTCGCTGTCCCCGTCTGCTTCTGGCTTGCTGTCATCATCTGTATGGGCATGAGCCTGGTGGTACTTCAGTCCATTGATGTGCTTGTACTTCTTGTTGCAGTTTGGGTGAGGGCAATCAATCAGAACGGGGGACGCACAATTTCTGTCCAGGACAGTGGGTTCTACCTTGGTCCCAGGGAGGGAACCTGTGGCTGAGCCCATGGAATTTGTACGAACACGCTTGCTCCCTTTGGAGTCCTCTGAGCTAGAATTCAGCTACATATCTGAAAGGGGTTTGTTTTTCCACTTGTTAGCTGAGGACGGGCTAGCCTTGACATCCTCTGAGGTGCTGCTGGCAGGTGGGCGATGCTCTGAAGAATTCTGGCTGCCCCGACAGCCTTTACTATTAGCTCCTGCCCGGGTTTTGCTGCTGCTGCTGGCCCCTTTACTGTCAGAGGCTGTAGCTGTGTCATTGACAGGTGTGCTACTGTTGGGACGCATTCGCTTGCCTCTACCTCGACCATTACGCATTTCCAAGTCACTGGTGGGGGAGTCACAGAACCTTGACAAAGGACAAAACACAAACAGGGTATCATTAAGAGTGGAGCACATCTTCAAACAGCCTCTAGAATAGCTCAGATTATCATCTTTAATGAACAAGATTTATTAAGGAAATATTTGAATACGTGGAACTATAAGCTCCTATGATGCATATTGAGTGACTTGGTTGAGGTCACATATTAATTGATGACAATGTATGGCCTAGAATCTAGGTCTGCTGTAAGCTCACTGCTTTTCCTCTGTGCACCACACCACCAATGTTCCAGGCTAGTAGAACGAAGTGCCCATGTAGACTGACAGGTAGGTCCCTTATACAGCAGCTACAGCCATATCCACTCGCTGGTCCTAAAACAGCTTTTCTTGGAGCTCAAATCACTGCCTAGAATGAAACCCTCGGCTGGGGCTCATCCATTTGTAGGTCTGTAGACTGTTTGGATGATTTTGTCCCAGGGGGGCAGCTGCAACAGGTGGTCTCTTTGACAGTAGGAGCCAATAGGTATTGGGGGTGGAGTTGGGGTGGGGAGAAGAGAGGCAAATTTTTCAAGTATTTCCTTTAGGTTCCCAGAAAACCTCTAAGATTAAGCCCCTTTGTTAGCACCTAGCGTCTTGGCTCCTGTCTCTGGACCCCAATATGTCTTCACAAAAATATGTCCTAACGTTTTCCCAGAAATGCAAAGGGTGAGCGAAATGAACGATATGTCGGTCTTAGTGCATGTGTTTCTGATTCTTGTTAGGACAACTTCTGTGAAAGTCTGATTATAGCCAGACAACATTCTGAAAATCTGTACAAATTGGTCTGGCATCTCTGAAAACTAGGAAGAATCAACAAGCACATATTCTAGGGGGAGCATCATTATACCTGTGAGGGAGTGGGGTATAGTATGGAGTCAAGAGCTTTACTTTCCTACTCAATTTTATTCCATGGGAATAACAGACTGGTGTAGGCTAAAAATGATTTTTCTAAAGCCCCAAACCCTAGCTAACCAGACACTAATATTAGGAACAAGCTTTAACAGGCTCTGAGATTGTTCATGGAAATGGCTTTCTTTAAGGTCCAATTACAAAGAAAAGGTCCTGTGCAACCCACATAGTCTATTAGAGTTTATAAAAGTGAACATGCTTTTGAGTTTGACTTTCTGAGTGACCTCTACCAACAAAAGCTATCAACAATGAATGCTCACCCAAAGTTACGCTTTATGAATTTGGTCTCGAGGGACTACAGGGAAAGACAAGAATTCAGCAGTCCCACGGAAAGCCTCCAACAGGGTTTCCTACCCAGTTCAAGTTATCCTTCCCCACACGCATCTCAATAATTAATTCATTTATTCTTCTTGAATGTCAGATAAAGTCAGTGCCTTCCCTTATCTCTATATTATCTCTATATTATCATGTCCTTTTAAAGCTGGGTGTGCAACTCCAGCAGGATAGGCATTCGAGAGTACCTGAATTAGGGGGTTCACGTGAAGCATTAATAAAACGCTGTTGAGTACTCACTCACCTTGGGGGTGCCCAGTCATGCCGGGTACAGTCAAGCAGCGTACCTACATATGTCTTGTTCCTCCATGTTACATTCACCACCAACATCCCTGAAATACAAAAAGGTTCCCATATAAACAGTAGAAATCCTGCTGGCTACTGAAATGTCTTCCACCTGGGCCCCACTGTGGGCGCTCTGCGTCCCAGTGGGACACTCAGGCCTCGCCAGAATTGTTCCATGAGAATGATCTGCAATGCTACTAGAGCCCCGAGGTGGGCAAAAGCTGCAGAGACAGTCTGCCCTGGAGAAGGCACATTTCTTTATCTCCCACCCACCCTGAAAAAAAGTATTCAATATTTCGAGCAAACAAAACAGAACTGAAAACAAAACCTAACAAAAAAACTCATGACTCACCACCCAGTATAACAGATTGATAATGATTTGGGGGCACACTTGTAGGAGATGTCTCTTTTTAAATAATAAAACGTTACAGCTGAAGAGCATGAATCATTACACTTTCAAACTTTCCATGAAGGGAATCATGCGGAGGGCATTACTTTCCCAACTATCTTTCTTCCTTCGTAACACATATTTGAGATCTGGTTGTGTTGACATAAAAATAATCCATTTATTTTAACTGCGCTAGTGTTACACTGTGTGATTTGACCGCATTACACTCTGTTGATAGCTATTTTGGTTTTAGTACATTTTCACTCTTAAATGATGTCACAATGAAGATTCCTGACATGTTCATTTCACTTAAAAATGCTTTTGAATGGGTAATATAGTAATGGTACAAAATCCAAAAGGCACCCACGCCAGCCACTCCACTATTAAATGAAGTGTCCCTTTTCACAAGTGTCACAGTCCTCCCTTCTAAAAACCCCTCTCTCTCTCTCACACATGCACGCGCACGCGCACGCGCACGTTTGTTTCACCTCACCATGTTCTGGGTCGCCTTAGATCAGTACAATTGTTTTCAGCAGTGTACCTGAAGGGCTGTTCCTTAATATGTGTAATTGGTCTCCTACTGGTGGGCGTTGCTTCACTCTTTTGTTATTACAGATAATGTTGCAATAAAAAACCTTATACACTTTGTTTTAAAAACACTTGTGGTGTTGTTAAAGAATATACACAGCAAAACATTCACCAATTCAACAATCTCTGCATTCAGTGACACCGATCACAGTCTTCCAGTTGGGTCCCCTTTTCTGAGCTGTTTTCCCCTCGACCTAAGTTTTCTATCTAATCTTTAGAGTTGCTGTTGTCAACGTGATTCCATAGAGATTGGTCTTAAAAGAGTACAATGCTCAAAGCAGACATTTTTCACTCTATGGTTTTAAGAAGGCTCTAGGCAACTTGTTTGTTTAAAAATTGTTCCAAGGCAATGGTTGCAGCTTCCCTGGCTCTAGAAAGCCTGCAGTTGAGAATTAAAAATTCTCCGATTAGGACTGTTTGATCAAAAAAACATTCAGTAATGGTAGCTGAGCATCATCTAGTTATTCTGGCCTCATGGCAAAGAAGGTAGTTGTTTATGGAGGCAATTAGCCACACAGCCATTTCCACCAATTTCCAATGCTCCTACACCCACCCTCTGTTGTTCCAGACCAGTCGTTAGACAATTGCAGGATGGTCACCTGCAAGCTTTTAAGACCCCATGCACTAGACCAGGGGTCAGCACACTTTTGAGACTGAAGAGCTAGTCCTGTCCCTCACAACAACTTAACAATTATCTGAGAGTCATAAATATATATTTATAAACATGAAACCACCATTATCTGAATAGTATCTTTAAAATTTTTTTCAATTTTACTTCAGAGCCATATGTACGTACTATAAGAGTCACAGTTCGACCCCGATACCTGGCAATACACGAAGAAGTGAAATAGAAGAGTAAACATGTTATTAGGCCAATTACCTGGGAAGACCTATGAGACCATGACCCTAAACCTCCAAGAAACCAAATCCCTTGAGGTGGGTGGTTGTACATACGCAGCCTAAGCAGCTACTCATTATTTTTTTTTTTGGGGGGGGGGAGTCACTGCTCTAAATATAGTACATAATTTTGTTAACTCTATTTTTCAAGGGTGTACAATGTGCTGACAGTAATTCTATTAACTGGTTGTGCAACTCTACCCTTAACCAATGCAATTTTTCTATCACTATACACCAAAACTCAGAAGTCCCCCTTCTCTGCTCCATCCCACTCGTGGTAATCACTAACTACACTTCACTTTCTTTATATCTGTTCTTGTCTTTTTATTCCTAAATGAGGTCAGACCATATTTGTCCTTTGGTGATCAACTTATTTCACTCAGAATAATGTCTTTCAGCTGCATCCATATGGTAGCATGATCAAGATTTCATTTCTTTTACTGGCTGAGTAGTAATCAATTGCATTCGCCCATCACAAACCTACTGCCATCCAGATCTCCTCTGGCTATAGTTGAGGGACACAATAAGCTTTGCTAACAGATTACTGTAAATCTTATTATGGTGGTTGGAACTATGGTATGATACCTGGTTAGTTGACCTCCTCTTGACCCAACCTGAATTTGCTTTAGATTTAAATATTTCTTGCTTGTTCCATGACTGGCTAGCTTATTTTAATGCTGCTAGTGGTCTTTTTGTTCTTAATCTTTTATTATTATTTTCTTTGGGTTTCATTTTTTAAAAATTGTTTCTGTTAGGTTTCCCAGTTTATGAAGCACAGACGGAGTGGATGTACAGAGATAATAACTGATGCAATGGCTTTTCAGGGATGAGGAGGGAGGGAGCAAAATAATGTATGGGAGGTGTACTAGAACTGATTGTGATGATGTCTATGCAATTCCTTTCAAAAGCAACAACTATGGAGGTGTGTGTGTAGTGATTTTTATAGTAATAGTAAGACTATAAAAAAGAAAACCCCCTGCCGCTGAGTCAATTGGATGTGTATGTAGACCTATAGGACTGGGTTTCCAAGACTGTCTTGACGAGAGCAGACTTTTATGCATTCGCCTGTGGATAAGCATTTAGATTGTTCCCACATTTTGGCTATTGTGAGTAGTGTAACAATGAACCCTGGTGTATAAATACATACGAATCTTGGTTATCAAGTCTCCTGGGTATATCTCTAGAGGTAGACTGGCTGGGTGCTATGCTAGTTCTATTTTTGGTTTTTTGAGGAACTGTCATACTGTTCTCTGTGACAGTGGTACGCATTCTGTATTCCTATGGGCAGTGGATAATGGATGCAATTTCCCTATATCTTCCCCAACATTTATTATTTTAAATCTTAGCCATCCTAAACTCACTGCCATTGACTCATTCTCAACTCACAGCAACCTTAAATATTTTTACAGAAGCAGATTGCCTCATCTTTCTCCTGTAAAGTGGCTAGTGAATTTGAACTGCTGACCTGATGCTCACTGTGCATAGCATCTTTTCATATGTTCAGCAGCCATTTAAATGTCCATTTTAGTGAAACCTCATTCAAATCCTCTGCCCTTATGATTGGATTATTTGTCTTTTGGTTATTGGATTCTTATTGATTATGTGGTTTCTGAAGATATTCTCCCAGATGACAGCTCCCCACCCCCACCCCCAACTTCTTTGGTAAAGTCTTTTAATACAAGTATTTAATTTTATGAGGTCCCATTTATTTATTTTGTTATTTACTATTTATGCTTTTGTTATTAGAAAATCTACTGTTTACAGCTAAACCTGACAGCATTGTCCCTTTTCTTCTAAGAACTTTATGGTTTTAGAGTTCTTTATATTTTGATGGAAGGAAAAAAATGAAAAGGATAATGATTTGTGACCTATGGAATTATGAGATTCAATGAAGTTTATTAGAACCTAACGGTGCTCAGCTATACATTATCTGTGCCTGTTTTACACTACACTGTGGAGTTGAATAATTGTAACAGACTGCATGGCCCACAAAGTTTTAAAAGCTTACTATACAGCCCTTTATGGAAAAAGTTTGCTAACTTCTGTTTTAGGTTTTTTCCTCCTTAATGAAAATATTTAAAGGTATAAATTCTCCTACATTAACTGAAATCTTCACGTTTTTATCCACTTCCAAGACAACGCAGATTAAAATATTTTGTTTTCTCTGCCCCCACCTCCCCCCGCCAAAATTTAGTCCTTAAAGCTACTTAGAATTAAATTTGCTGTCACCTTTTAAAAAACCTAGAGATTTTCTAGTTATCTTTTTGTTAGTGATGCCTAATACAATTCTATTGGGGTCAGAAAATACACTCTATAGGACATAACTTTCCAAAAACAAAACATACTGCCACTGAGTTGAAACTGGCTCATTGTGACCCTACAGGGCCACATAGAACTGCCTCTGTGCAAAAGAAGAAAAGAAAAAATAGAATTGCCTGTGGGTTTCCGAGACTTTAACTCTTTAAGGGAGTAGAAAGTCTCTTCTGTCTCCCAAGATGCAGCCAGTGGTTTTGAATTGCTGACCTTGTGGTTAGCAAGACAACGTGTAACCCAACTCTGCTAGCAGGGCTCCCTGTATCATTTTATTGTATTTAACCTCCACCACCACCACCAGCAGCCCCTCCCCGTAAGATTTTAATCCTTTTAAACTTACTATTATTATGGCCTAATATATAGTCTACAGGAGCCCTGGTGACATTTGAAACCCTCAACTACTCCGACAGAGAAAGGGCTCTCTACTCCCATAAACAGTTACAGTCTCAGAAAGCCAGAGAGGGGCCCAATGAGTCCGCATAGACTCAATGGCAGCAAGTTTCATTTGTTTTTTTGTAAAATATGGTCTGTCTTGAAGAATATCGCATTGGTACCTGAAAAAAAAATACTAAAGATGTATTCTATAGTTATTCTATAAATGATAAATCAATTGATATAAAACCATACAAAACTCACTGCCATCAAGTCAATTCCAACTCATAGTGAACCTAGAACTACCCTTGGGGTTTCCGAGACTAACTTTTGACGGGAGGAAACAGCTTCTTTCTCCTGAGGAGTGGCTGGGGGTTTTGAACTACCGACTTTGCCGTTTGCTGCCTAACTTGTAACCACTACTCCCCCAGGGCTCTTATATAGGTATGGCTGTATACTATATGGGGGAAATAATGTATAGCTTCTGCT